CACTCACCCACTCACCGTCTCACTCACCCACTCACCGTCTCACTCACCCACTCACCGTCTCACTCACCCACTCACCGTCTCACTCACCCACTCACCGTCTCACTCACCCACTCACCGTCTCACTCACCCACTCACCGTCTCACTCACCCACTCACCGTCTCACTCACCCACTCACCGTCTCACTCACCCACTCACCGTCTCACTCACCCACTCACCGTCTCACTCACCCACTCACCGTCTCACTCACCCACTCACCGTCTCACTCACCCACTCACCGTCTCACTCACCCACTCACCGTCTCACTCACCCACTCACCGTCTCACTCACCCACTCACCGTCTCACTCACCCACTCACCGTCTCACTCACCCACTCACCGTCTCACTCACCCACTCACCGTCTCACTCACCCACTCACCGTCTCACTCACCCACTCACCGTCTCACTCACCCACTCACCGTCTCACTCACCCACTCACCGTCTCACTCACCCACTCACCGTCTCACTCACCCACTCACCGTCTCACTCACCCACTCACCGTCTCACTCACCCACTCACCGTCTCACTCACCCACTCACCGTCTCACTCACCCACTCACCGTCTCACTCACCCACTCACCGTCTCACTCACCCACTCACCGTCTCACTCACCCACTCACCGTCTCACTCACCCACTCACCGTCTCACTCACCACTCACCGTCTCACTCACCCACTCACCGTCTCACTCACCCACTCACCGTCTCACTCACCCACTCACCGTCTCACTCACCCACTCACCGTCTCACTCACCCACTCACCGTCTCACTCACCCACTCACCGTCTCACTCACCCACTCACCGTCTCACTCACCCACTCACCGTCTCACTCACCCACTCACCGTCTCACTCACCCACTCACCGTCTCACTCACCCACTCACCGTCTCACTCACCCACTCACCGTCTCACTCACCCACTCACCGTCTCACTCACCCACTCACCGTCTCACTCACCCACTCACCGTCTCACTCACCCACTCACCGTCTCACTCACCCACTCACCGTCTCACTCACCCACTCACCGTCTCACTCACCCACTCACCGTCTCACTCACCCACTCACCGTCTCACTCACCCACTCACCGTCTCACTCACCCACTCACCGTCTCACTCACCCACTCACCGTCTCACTCACCCACTCACCGTCTCACTCACCCACTCACCGTCTCACTCAACCACTCACCATCTCACTCACCCACTCACCGTCTCACTCGCCCACTCACCGTCTCACTCACCCACTCACCGTCTCACTCACCCACTCACCGTCTCACTCACCACTCACCGTCTCACTCACCCACTCACCGTCTCACTCACCCACTCACCGTCTCACTCACCCACTCACCGTCTCACTCACCCACTCACCGTCTCACTCACCCACTCACCGTCTCACTCACCCACTCACCGTCTCACTCACCCACTCACCGTCTCACTCACCCACTCACCGTCTCACTCACCCACTCACCGTCTCACTCACCCACTCACCGTCTCACTCACCCACTCACCGTCTCACTCACCCACTCACCGTCTCACTCACCCACTCACCGTCTCACTCACCCACTCACCGTCTCACTCACCCACTCACCGTCTCACTCACCCACTCACCGTCTCACTCACCCACTCACCGTCTCACTCACCCACTCACCGTCTCACTCACCCACTCACCGTCTCACTCACCCACTCACCGTCTCACTCACCCACTCACCGTCTCACTCACCCACTCACCGTCTCACTCACCCACTCACCGTCTCACTCACCCACTCACCGTCTCACTCACCCACTCACCGTCTCACTCACCCACTCACCGTCTCACTCACCCACTCACCGTCTCACTCACCCACTCACCGTCTCACTCACCCACTCACCGTCTCACTCCCCCACTCACCGTCTCACTCACCCACTCACCGTCTCACTCACCCACTCACCGTCTCACTCACCCACTCACCCTCTCACTCACCCACTCACCGTCTCACTCACTCACCGTCTCACTCACCCACTCACCGTCTCACTCACCCACTCACCGTCTCACTCACCCACTCACCGTCTCACTCACCCACTCACCGTCTCACTCACCCACTCACCGTCTCACTCACCCACTCACCGTCTCACTCACCCACTCACCGTCTCACTCACCCACTCACCGTCTCACTCACCACTCACCGTCTCACTCACCCACACACCGTCTCACTCACCCACTCACCGTCTCACTCACCCACTCACCGTCTCACTCACCCACTCACCGTCTCACTCACCCACTCACCGTCTCACTCACCCACTCACCGTCTCACTCACCCACTCACCGTCTCACTCACCCACTCACCGTCTCACTCACCCACTCACCGTCTCACTCACCCACTCACCGTCTCACTCACCCACTCACCGTCTCACTCACCCACTCACCGTCTCACTCACCCACTCACCGTCTCACTCACCCACTCACCGTCTCACTCACCCACTCACCGTCTCACTCACCCACTCACCGTCTCACTCACCCACTCACCGTCTCACTCACCCACTCACCGTCTCACTCACCCACTCACCGTCTCACTCACCCACTCACCGTCTCACTCACCCACTCACCGTCTCACTCACCCACTCACCGTCTCACTCACCCACTCACCGTCTCACTCACCCACTCACCGTCTCACTCACCCACTCACCGTCTCACTCACCCACTCACCGTCTCACTCACCCACTCACCGTCTCACTCACCCACTCACCGTCTCACTCACCCACTCACCGTCTCACTCACCCACTCACCGTCTCAATCACCCACTCACCGTCTCACTCACCCACTCACCGTCTCACTCACCCACTCACCGTCTCACTCACCCACTCACCCTCTCACTCACTCACCGTCTCACTCATCCACTCACCGTCTCACTCACCCACTCACCGTCTCACTCACCCACTCACCGTCTCACTCACCCACTCACCGTCTCACTCACCCACTCACCGTCGCACTCACCCACTCACCGTCTCACTCACCCACTCACCGTCTCACTCACCCACTCACCGTCTCACTCACCCACTCACCGTCTCACTCACCCACTCACCGTCTCACTCACCCACTCACCCTCTCACTCACCCACTTGCGCACTCACCCACTCACCGTCTCACTCACCCACTCACCGTCTCACTCACCCACTCACCGTCTCACTCACCCACTCACCGTCTCACTCACCCACTCACCGTCTCACTCACCCACTCACCGTCTCACTCACTCTCCACACTACAGGTCACAGCGCTGCTCTTTTCCCTGCTCTTCCATCGCACCGCTCGACTTTGCAATTCCACAATTGCCTCCCACCGCCTCTCTTTCGCCAAGCTCTTATGAATAACCTTGCTCAAGTCAAAAAACGCATCGACTCCTTATCTATTACACTTCCAATGGACATGTTTGTCGCTGACCACATGCCATGCTTGGACCTTTGGGCCTGTGCTCAGCAGCCACGAAAACAACACCCCCACCCCCACCCCCCCGCACTAATACCAAAACCCCTTCGTCTGCAAAAGGGCTTTAACTATTCAGAGTCCATGTACATTTGTTACGAAAGGATACCTTTTTTTTGGCAATGTGGTGCATGCACAAGAAACAACGTAGTTGTAAGAATCTGGAGAAAATCCCTCTACAACCAAGGCCCACTCGTCCTCCTCTGCTGTCCTAATATTCGTGAACTTCCTTCCCCCAGCTGTCCGTACTGCCGACTCCATGTACCGGTGTAAGTCCAGGCCCAATGCTTTCCATGTTTCCTTCTGCCGACAACGAATTGCCTCCGTCTACAAAATGAACGCGCCCGATGATTCCGTGCAGCGTCTTGAGATGCGGTCCCACTTAGACGCCCGCTCATCTAGAGCCACAATGTGTTGGAAAGTGCAGTCACTTGAATGGCCCTTGCTTTGATTTAAAGCTTTCGTGACTGCAGTAATTCATATTCTTAGCTCTTTCGGTAAAGTCACGTTGAAGGGAAAACAATAAGATAATAAAATATATATCAAACAATAAAATTCTCACGACGTTTCGACCATAACACAAGCGGTCATCATCAGGTGTGAAAACCGCCAGTTCTTTCAAATGTTTCTTGCCGTTGGTTTTCACACCTGATGATGACCGTTTGTGTTATGGTCGAAACGTCGTGAGAATTTTATTGTTTTATATATGTTATTATTTTATTGTTTTCCCTTCAACATGACTTTACCGAAAGAGCTAAGAATATGGCTCTTGTTTGTACAGAAGCAAGGGTCTTTAGAAGTGAGGGACCTATGGAATTGAGGATGTACCTCTGTCTGTCTGTATGCATGTTCAACTTCTTTTGCACCGTACGTAGCCATCCTGCGCTAATGGGAGGTGCGTGAGAAGGACAACAAACCGACACAAAAAGCAGTTTCGCGTTTCGTTCGTTTGTTCTACTTCCAACCTTCGACCTCGGACTAAACACCTGTGACTGTGATTGGTGATGGAGGGTAGAGCAGAGGTGGTGTGATCAGCGTTGGTGTGGATGAGCGGTGTGGGGGTTCGTGAGAGCCGACACGATGATTGACCACCTGCATAGGACGGGCTGCGCTCGACGACAACACCCTGGTGTAGCCGGCTACCGACGAGACACGACAGATGCTGTGACGGGGACGATGGGCCACGGCCAATGAGGCGAGCCAAATGAATGACACGCGTCCAAGATGGCGACCGATCGTGGAGGCGCGGAGCGGTGAAATCCGTTCCACGCTCATCGGCGAGACGGAGGGTAGCCGCACCGGACCTTGAGGGCTGGCGACGGCGTGTTGCGTCTGTGGCCTTAGACGGGCAACTGCCGCTGGGGATGATTATGATGAAACTGATTGTTCTGCACGCGGCATTGCGAGGGAAATCATTGACTTCAGTCGGATCAATTGCGACGTGAGCGCTCAGCCCCTTCCGCATGGCTGCACCACTCATCCCTGCCGTATTTGTCTCCCCGCCGCTCCTCGCACACAGGTACTTCATGAGTACCGAGGAGTCGCCCCTGCAACGGCACCTGTACAGGTGAGCGACGGTTGCCACCTCATCGATGGTGGCTAGATTATAAAACTAATTTCAAGATTATAAAACTGATTTCTTCAGAACTGATTTTGGCGTTTAGATTGTTGTCCTCCCCCCGCACCTATGATTAGCACGGTTGGCTACGTATGGTGTGAAAGAAGTTCAACATACATACATACATCGACTACCGTTAATAACTCAGAGCCAGGAACGATATCATTTTGCTTCGAACTGGGACCCCAAAGCGTAAGGGGAGGGAAAGATCGACAGTTTGCCAGCATCGATTCAAAGCAAGCCTCGCTCTGCTGATGAGAAACCGCGTGTGGAAGCCGGTCCGGGGTTTGCTTGTCTTGAAACGATGCTGCCGAAAGTTGCACTTTGAGAAGGCTGTGCGGATTCTGGGGTGTGTAGGAAATAGCCGAGAGAGGGGTATGCGGAGGCGACGTCTCGTCTGCCTATTCATTTCGACTCCCACTCATGGTCGGCATTTCCGTCTCACAAGCGTGGTGGATGAGGAAGGGGGGAGGGGGTACGTCATTATAGAGCCGTGGTTCTAACCCTTGTTGGTATGGTGACTCCCCCCCCCCACACCAATCAATAACTAGTGATCCCTACACCCCCCACACACACACACCCTAATTTTCCCCATAATACCCATTCGTGAAAAGCATATTTGTTTCTGCGTGTGCCATATACCTTTTAGACAAAGACGTTAGATTGTGTTGATGATGATGATGGAGAGCAGTGGTGTAGTGGTTGGTGCACTGCACTACGAACTCCGGTGACACGAGTTCAATTCCCGCTCACAGCCACCAACACCAGTGACGATTAATTATATTATCTGAACTGCTCCTGGGCTTCCTCTGTGTTGACTCAGCCTCAAATGAGTACCTGGTGCGATGTGTAAACATCTCGACTTTGGGTACATATGCGACCGAATGTGGTGCTGGCCACCCACCCCCACGTGTGCCGTGCTAGCCTTCATTGATGCTACTCGCTAACAGCTCTTGTCCCAACAATCCGTTGAGGATATTTGGGGGATCTTTGTCTTTGATACCTCGAAGAATAAACGTGACAATAATTGTTCATCTTTCCCGGACCGTTCTATCACGCTTGATGTGCCCGCCATAATAGGAAATCGCTAAACCAAACTGGCCCGTCCGCAGTCTGTAAAGCCAAGCGGAGGGATTAATCCATGCAGGATAATACTGCAGGCAATAGCTCTTCCTTGGTGCGGTGAGATTGGCGAATGCTGGTAGACTGCACTTAACAATGTGCCGGTACCTTCTGGAAGAAAAAAAAACGGAATCCCGTCGGTCAATCTCCCCGGGCCTTCTTTTCGCTCTGCAGAGCGGCTATTGCTCTGAGAATTCTGCAGTGTGTGCCGCGTATCCCTTTGTTCTGGGGCAGCGTTAATTACGAGCAGCGAAGGTGTTACGTTGAGTTTATATTTTTGTATATGTCCGCTTGTTCAACGCTGCCAACCTAATCCCTTGTTTTTAGTTTTTATTTAAATTTTACTCGGTAGATTTTCACCTTTTTCACTGTGTTGCTACAACAATTGCCAAAACAAATTATTATTAATAGGGCGCGCACATTTTTTTTGCCATTTTTAGTTATTTATTTTTGGTGGAATAAATTACAAAATTGCTCACTTGGCATTCCAGGAGGCACCTTCTGCTTTGCGTGCGCGGGTGCAGATTCTGCATCCTTGTCTCCTTTTTCTCATCCTTGCTTTTGTCAAGAAGAGATTTATGTTTTTAATCGAGAGCTATGGTGGACAGCTTGGCAATGGGCACCCCCAGCTTTGACCCCCCCCCCCCACGCCTCCTCCTGGTTTCAGGAATGTGGCCAGGGTTCGATGTGGGATCGGCCAGCGGGAAGGGTGGGGAATCGCGAGACAGAACCCACGTCTCCATGACAACCGCGAAGTGAACCGGGTCGCAACCTGGACTCAGACCAGATTCCCACTCGGGGTGTCAGCTGTCCTGGTTTCCCCGGGGATCTTGTTGAGGTCGCTGCTGGCGTGGGGCATTTGCCAGGCCTCCTACGAGGACATCGTGCCTGATTTGCACAAGTTGCGTAATAATCAGAATCGATATCCTTCTTTTTCCTGGAGGAATCCGATGAGCTACGGAGCTTTTTATTTTACAAGTGTCCAGTAAGGGGCGGGTAATAACGTTACCAAAAAAAATACAATACAAAGCACGACAACAGGGCGAAGTACAGGAAAGGCAAACAAATCACTAAAGAGATATACCAATAAAAAATTTACACGGCTCAAGGCAACTCATTTGCATCTCCGCTCTCCCGGTATTGTGAGCTAATAACAGCATCATTATGATTCTTATTATTATTATTCCCATTATATATCCAGGGTTTTTAAATATCAGAGGTAGCAACCCTCGTGGCGAGATCCGGAGCAGTCCCCAGTGACCAGCAGGGTGAAGTATGGTCAAACAACCCCAATGACGTAGGGAAGGCCTTTATCCTGCCTTGGATTAACAAAGGGCTGTACATTTATTATTTTAATTATAATTTTATAATACAGTCGCTTATTATGTTTAGTTAAAAATAATTTATTCATCATTGCCATGCCAATTAATATTTAAATCCGTGAAGCAAATGGATTGAAATGGGAGGAATGATCAATGTAATGCTGATGTGACATCATTGCGTTCCATGTGTGTGAGTCATCCTATTTAACGCATATCAGAACCAATTCTATATTTACTTGAGGATTGTGACATATAGTTTTCTAAGCGTGGCTCAGAATTTTATATGCAGCTGGTAATTGGAGTTATGAGATATTTTTTCTTCGTCATTTCCCTCCGCCCCCCCCCCGCCCACCCTCCATTTTATTCCAACGGTGATACCCGCATCATGCAGTGAATCACCAAGTGTTTGAGAATGACCCATCGAAGGTGGCATCAAAGAACTACTTCTGAGATCCCCACAAGTAACATCTTATTCATACGACGGGCGCTGAATTTTCTCACGCACCTCGCTATAGAGACTATCATAACAGGGGATTGAACCCAACTTTTTTTTTGGCCAAATTAATAAATGAATAGTTCCAACGCAATGGCAATTTTATTAAGTCATTAATGACTGAGCTGAGACCGTAAACTGACTACTCTTAGGAACACGGTTTAAATCATGGCTGGGTGAATCCTGGATTCAAAACCCAGGGATGGTACCAGTGCTGGCTCAGTGTGTGCTAATCGCACCTCCAATTAGCACGGTTGGTTACGTATGGTGCGAAAGAAGTTCAACATACATACATCTGGCCTTTCAACTATCCGGCCACCTCCGAATCATATTGTTGTGGCGCACATCCACGGGACCATGACCTGGCCCGGGAGGAGTGCGTTCACCGCTTGTTGCAGAGGTTCAAAACCGATGGGCCGCCCTGGTTATTAACGTGTGTGGTGTGTCAATCATAAGATACGCTCCATCTGCTTGGTGGGCGTTAGAGATGTCGTGAGGTCGTAGGAAACGAGCAGGCTATTGTGTCCTGGCATCATGGCCCAATTTTTGCCGAATTCGAAACATTACAGCCCGCTATCATACAACAATCATCGCCCCTTACTGGCAGACTAATACCCGATTGCAGGCCATGTGCCGGGTCGCCGTGTGCCCTCCATGACAGCTGCCAATGGGGGTCACCGTTGAAAATGTGTTGAGGTGACTCGCGCAATGGAAGTCGCTCATCACGTGTGAGACGCACGAAGGGCGCTCTATCAAAAACAAATGTGTTATTGTTCGTCTCAAAAAATGTGGTCTCTGTAATTTTATTCACAACGACAGAGGACATAAACCAGAGTGATTGTAAAGAGCACGGTGATGGAGTAAAATATAGCAGCTTGTATCAAGAATTGAATATTACTCATCATGAAAAATTGTATCTCATTTGTACAGACTTGCTCACACAATTGCCAATTGATTTGTACATTTGGTGATCATAATTGCCACGAAAGTAGGGGAGATGAGCCATTTATGATTCATTAATTAAAATATATATGCCCATGAATTTTAGTTGTACAGAAAAGCCAATTCATTTCTGAGTTTTTTCTGAATATAACAGTCCAGAAAAGTGTCGGACTGAATCAAAATTTCCAGACATTTATTACGTTTTTAAATGCCATGTAATCTGTCTCGTTGAGTCACAAGTTTACGGGTGAAATTGATGGCTCAGTGTAAGTGTAACTTTGGGTGTTTATTTGCAATATTTGCAACGACCTTTCAGTGGCGTGAGTTCACGCTGGATTTTGCCGGCATCAAATTGAAATTCCGCTCGAGCTTCTCGTTTGGAGACAAACATTAAATCGCGTCGCGCGCATAAAGGGTGTACTGTGGAGTGAGGTTCGCGCTGAGACGAGGCTTCAATTTCCGTCCAAGCCACCCGCTCCCCCCCCCCCCCCCCCCCAGCGTCACGTTCCAGGGGAATTGTACAAAGAAAAAAAAGTGGTCAGGAATTTTGGAACACAGGATAACTCTCAAATAAAAATTACGTCAAATGATCGTGCTCCATGTTGACTTGGAAGGCTCATTCAGAGCTTCGTAAGACCACGTGCCTTTTACTTTTGGACTCGGGTCTTTTTGGGTTGGTGTCCACGTCTTTGTTCAGCGCGATTTTTGTCCGACGGTTCGCTCCCCGCTGCTGGTCTGGAGGAACCAAATTGGGTGTCGGGATTCCTGTAATTTTTTCGGGAGCGAAACGTCGGACATCGTGCCGAACTACACGCAGCGTCGGAGAGATGTGCACCACGACGGCGGAATGAGACTACACGGTACCTTTTGGTCACTGTACAAACACGCTCACCCTATTCGCATCCGGGAATTTACCAGCGGCAACCGATGATCGCCCACGCCATTGCAATCATCGCGTCCACTACGAAAGTGGGGAAAGGTGACTGGCAAAACTATGTGGGAAGGAACGCACCTGTGTACGCGTGCATTTTTGAAGCTCTTTCGCGCCGCACGTAGCCAATCGTGCTAAT